AAAAACGGAGAGGTACCCAAGAGTGTTACCTACGATGCGGAATTACGCGCTTCAGCCGGTAGGTGTAATTTCGCCAACGCGGCCGAAAATATTCGAGGTTTTTTTTGTCATGGATATGCGCGAATCCGACTGTCAAAGAGAACTTTCCCAATCTACCAAGCCACCAGAGGAGGTATATAGGAAAGCAATATCATACAAGAGAGGTAAAAGCGTTTATCTTCAAAAGTATAAATGTCATGCAAATAACGAAGCAAGCAAATCAGACGTTGTTCTCAATTCGTTAAATCCAGTCACGCGTCAAAAGAAAACTACAAAACTAGCAAAAGTATGTCAACCGCTAATTCCATAGAGAAAATTGACCCTAAACCATCTTCTACAATTAAAAATATTTCCACACAATCCGGCAATAATAATTTAAATGTCGTGCTAAAAAAAGTTCAAAAGCAACCGATAGGCCTAAGTTCAGATTCAGATATAGAAATTATCCCACCAGAAAAAATCGTTCCAAAAAAAAATTCTTCGAAAAAACTCAATACTGTAGAGTCGTGCCACATTCTAAGACTAAACTGATGCCATTTGAGGCTTATCACGGAAGAGAAGTTAATACCGCCTTCCGGAACCTAACGGAAAAACCAGCGCTTAAAAACCTCACTTGGAAGAATGTATTTAACCACAAATTACAGTTTTTAGATGGAGCAAGCACTCTCCCCAAAGTGGAGTTAAATCTAGATTGGGAGAAACGAAGCGATCTAGCGTATGCACTACAAAATTGCACATCTCCAAGAGTGTTGGAGGAGCACGAACTAGCTGAAGCGAGGTGGAACTCACACACCCTAAGGCACCAGAGTGGTTAAAGCGCCACAAGATGAGCCCTTCAGTGGTCTAAGAACGTGGCGGGGGAACGGACCCGAAGGACCCAAGGAGTTATAAGCGTTTATCTTCAAAAATAGAAAAATTATTACCACATACAAGGCAAATAAAAAAGAGATCATTGCTTAGTGAAAGCCGAGTAGAAAGGGGGAACGACGCGAAAACCCCGGGACCAATTAAAACGAAAGACCCCATAAGTAAAAGCACTGAAGAAAAATCGGGGGCCTATGAAACAAGGAAACAAACAATGAAACGGACGCAGACGGATAGTGAGGAGCGCAAGCGAAAGAAAAGACGGGTAGTAGAGAGCAGCGACGAAGAAAGCGAAGAAGAGGACGAGAACGAACGGACAAACGAGAAACGAGACGGCGAAACAACGACAACGGAAAATCTTAACAACGGAAAATCAGACTATCGAGGCGAGCGAACCATCGGGTACGGAGCAAGCGAACTTATCGAAAACCGTCGGTCAAAAGAGAACAGTTACTGAGGAAGCGACGCACCGAACGACGAGACAGCGAAAGGGAGTGGATAAGATGATCTACCGAATTGAATACAAATGAGAAACAAAAGAAAAGGACCCAGGGAGAGGGTCGGCAGGTGTGCCAATAAACTCAACTAATCTAATACTCAAAACTTTGTCATTTAAAACTAAAACTGCTGATAACAAATACTGAATGATGTTATGAGTTCGATAAATTTGTGGCTGCCCAAATGATATAGGAGTCAGTTTAAAATTATGTAAGTTTAATTAAGTTTATGTAAGTCTTCGGTCTTCTGTCTTTGGACCTGCTGCTGTGACCTTGCGATCGCTATCGTCCGGCATACGATAATATAACCAAGTGCAGTAAGATTAGGTTTTCATACCATACAGTTGCCAACTTTCCTTAATTTCAACTTTCCTTACCGAATGTTTTGGATCTTCAACAGTGTAACGCAACTTGCTATGGATGGCGACTACAAATGTTCCAAATTGAAATGAGAGAAGCTTATCGTTTTAAATTTTCTCTAACTTGGCTTTTAAATTTTCTTTACCAACAGTTCTTCGAGATCGATTAAGTGGCAGTCGGAACATTTAGGGCTTTGCCTTGGTACACGAGTATTCTTGTTCTTGGCTACACTTTTTTGCCCTTTCACTTGTTTAGTCCCTGCATTGTTTTTCAGCAATTTCAGTTAATTTTTAGTTCTTATTTGGGTTTGGTAAAAGTTTTTAAAAAGATCTTCAAATTTATAAAGAAGTATTTATGAGCCATTTTTTAAAGAAAAAGATCTTCAAATTTTTGAAGAATTGTTTTGGAGAAATTCGTTTTTAGAAATAAATTCTAAGGTGGACCATCAGAAACTATTTATCAGTGCCCATTATCCTACCCAAAGCAAAAAGTAGAAAAAATTAGGATTTTTTTTTCGTTTCTCATTTCTTGCTAGTTTTTTTCTTTGAAGGTGATTCAGGGAATGGATTTAGCTCATCTGACTATCGGAAGCAGTTTGATGCTCATTATCTAACGCTCCTGTGGATGGCCTTCTGCTCGAATCAATGAACTGATCGGTAAATGGGATTTACAAACAATTGGGCAAAAAATACATTTGATTCATTATGCTACTTTGATCAGAAAGATCAAAAATTATCATTCGTTCTTGAATTGAAAACGAGACGGATACAAAATTTGGAATTTCTGATGAAATTAACAAACCAATTATGAACGGTAAACTTTTTGGCGAAAAACGCCTTTTCTCAAACAAGATAACTGCATTGTTTGAATGTAATTTACACTGACATATGACTCATAAAACACTTGACCGTATTAATTCAAAAATAATTGAGGAGACAAAAGCAGTCAATGAGTTGTTAAATCATAAAAAAGTTCTAGGAAATAAACTGGGAATCAGCTCAAAAACACAAGACATGATTGCGCATACAAAGACAAAATAGCCAAACTAACAGGCAGGTCTCAAATTTTGCTCTAAAAGCATTTTTTTTTCTTTTGAACGCCACTTTTTTCATAGGAAGTTTTGGTTTTAGCAGTACTTGCAAAAAAACTGATGCTCAAATATTGTATAAGGAAATCATTTTTTGTAATTTCTAATGTTTTATTGGAAGCAGAAGCAGTTGTCAGATCTTCAAAATTTTAATCGTTTTAGTGAACAAAATTCTACTAGACCCAACAAAAAGTTTAAAGGTACTTTAAAAGATTAAATTTTAAATAATTTTCTAATTATCTTTAAATTTGTTGCTGGGTTGAGTACAGTTTTAACTCACTAACAATTTAAAGTGGTTAAGCTTAAAGTGGTTAAATTTCACACCCATTAAAAAGTTTAACAGTTTAGGAGAAAATGAATTTTCTTTTCTTTAAATTTGTTTTTAAACCAAATGGTTTAAAAGAGAAATTATCTTCTGCAGTGGCTGTTTTTGTAATGGTGTCTTCTTGTTGTCGATCCGAATTCATAAGAATATAGCAGTCGTCGGTGTTTTCGTAATTCATTTTTATCGTTAGTACGGCTTTCATTCAACTCGTCCAATTCGTCACCTATGGCATCGAAAAATTTAATTTTATTTAATTTTAAACGAGTGTTTCAAACAACGCATCTTAACGGATCAATTTTCTTTGAAAAGAAGTGCCAACGCTTACGTTGCTACTAATCGAGTTGTGGGTGGTTTGGATATTTTCACATCAAAATTCAATCAGCTCAAACTAAATTTTTGCATTTTTTGGAAGAGATTGTAAAAAACTAGCAGTTTACGAGACTGACAAAGAGCATAAATAGGAAAACAAAAATTTTTTTTTTGAAGATTTTGGCTGATTTTCTGAATACCTGAATAAAGGCTATCTGTTGCCTCTTTTTTTCCGTTGAATTTCACCGACAAAAGTGCCAGAACACGATTTGAAAACCTGGCCATACTTTTCCTAACAATCTTATTGTTTTCCAAACGACGCGAAAGGTAATATTGGAGTAGAAAATATTCTTTACCCTGGCCCTTTTAGATAACCCGATGAAAAACAAGTGATAACTTTTACTTGACTTAGGTTCAAATTGGCCACTGGTGTCTCCTGAGCCTTCAGTTCCAGCGGCACAAATCCATGGCTGGTCCTTTAACACATTTAAAATTGAGTCACACAGGAAAACAAAGATTGCCGTTTGCAGAGACGGACTTCATTATAACCCTAGTCGAGATCCCGCTCGAAAATTTCTCTAGATTTGAGCGATTTTTGAGCGGTTTAACTAGAAACACCGCTCAAAAACCGTTCGAACCTTGCGCAGTTTTTGAGCGTTTTCTTAATTAAACCGCTCAAAAACCGTTTATTTGAAGCAAAATTTTGAGCGAAAATGTCTAAAAAAAACACTCAAAAATTTCAAACCCTGCATAAAAATAGAAAAAAAAATCGACTCGAGAAGTAATGATTTCAAAAAATCAAAAACAAGTTATTTTTATGTGTTCAAGGCTGATCTCTGAGCAAGAAATTGGTTATTCTGAAAATCTGTGATTGAAGAATACAGAAAACTTGTTTATCGAACAACAAACAACATAGAAAATTGATAAAAATTTTACTGGAACAAATGGTGGGGCGGTTAATTGCAAATTCAGTGCTCCAATAATTAATTTTACGATTTAAAAAATGAATTGTAGATTTGTAATTTTTTAAACTATAGTGCTGTAACAAAAAAAATGCAGAATTTCAACTTAAATGGTGACTCTTTGACTGCAGTTGCACTATGCGTTGTTTGCCTTTTAACCTATGGGTTTCATTACTTGAAAAAAAAATCCACGATTTTTCAGTGTTTGGGCAAAACACTAAATGTTATAGTCAAACTGTAAATGTTAGAGTTTTTAATGGGAAACAAATGCTTGTCATTCAAAAGTTTTATTCAAATTGATTGCAACTTTTGTAGAATTTTTTGTCTGGAGATTTTTTTGTACTCGATTTTACAATTTTAACAAAATTGCATGACTAGCATTTTTTCATTGACTTAGTTTATGGAATTGTAGATTTAGCATTTTGTGTCAATGGAGGACTGTTTGAGTTTCTATGATAAAAAACCATATGTCACGTGTATGTTTGAATACTGTATGATAAAGGTTCGTGGTCAATCCGGGTTATTAAAATTCAAAACTCGTCAATAAAACGAACAGAAAACAATAACTACTTTTTATCCAAAAGAGAATACTACGTTCGGAAATACAAATTAGAAAACCAAAGAAAAAAATCAGAACAAATTAAGCGAACGCGACAAATTTTCACTTATAATTGGTGTAATTAAAACAACGGAACCATAGGTTTCGGGGAAATCCAAAGCAAGCAATCACACTTTTGTCATATACAAACTTTTCACCAAACTCACCAATTTTTACCTTTTTATAAGGTTGTTTATTTACTCTGAATCAAAAACTTTTCATTTTCATTTTTGATATCTCAAAAAACTGGCATGTAAAAGGTTGCCACAATATTTTCAGGATTTTTTAATATTAAGTATTTCAATATTAAGTAGGTCATTTTTGAATCTAACAAGAGGTAGAGCTTCATTCAATAGTTTGATTCATTAGTTGTCAGTTTTTGGATTTATTAGACTTTTTGACAAACGACCAAATGTTGACTCTGTAAATCAAAATAAGTCTATAGCTCAAGAAATTTTTGATTTTTTAAAAATAATAATTTTTTACCCTGCACATTATTTGGTGTTTGAACCAGTGGAAGTTCAACTGAGAAGTAATTCGTCTGTATGAAAATGCCCTCGGTTGCACTTCAGGAAGAGGTGGAAAGGCGAATTTGAACCCTGGATTAACCGATCCAGCGAAGGGTTGTAAGCCCCCTGGACCAAACCCCACTTCAGTTATGATATTGATACATGACCTTGGATTCCACATTGCCTGGAAATTTGCATTTTACATAATTAATGAAAAAAAATTCCATAAACAAGACAAAAAAAAATTCAAATGGGTTGAGCTACAACTTGCTACAGCAGTGATTCGGCAAATTCTCCGATAAAGTTACCATTCACAAAGCCAGGTAAAATCAACCCCTAAGTTTTGCCAATCGCAGGCCTACTTCTTAAAAAGTTGACATTTTTTATTTGTGCTTGAAACTACCCCTGTTCAATTTGTTTATAAACCCATGACAATGGTTTATAAAATGGTCTGAAAAAATGGTTCATTTTAGCCTAGCACAAGAAAACATGTTTAAATGTTGTCGCTTTGAAGATATTTGGTTTAAGGCACTCGCTCGTTGAAGTTATTTAGGAGTGAAAAAACTATTTAGGAGTGAAAAAACTATCAGAGTAAGAGAGAGAGAGAGAGAGAGAGAGAGAGAGAGAGAGAGACAGAGAGAGAGAGAGAGAGAGAGAGAGAGAGAGAGAGAGATAGATAGTCCATCCTCTCTTTGAGAAAAAAGTGTACTTACACTGATGTAGTTTAGCGGTTTGTTCATTTCGTTGTGGTAGTCAGTGAGTTTCTCAAAGTACTCTGTAGGTGTGAGGTGGAGTCTCTCCTGTCCAAATATTATGTACTTGTCAACCTGTCTGTCACAACAACGGGCTGAAAAAACAAAAAGTAGAAAAAAGTTAAGGCCATTTTAGTCAAATTTTAGATATTTTTTTGGTATTTTTGTCAAAATAGCCACTTGAGATTAAAAACAACCTTTGCAGATCTGCAAAACTTAAGAGTGCTATAATATTTTTTTCTATAAAAATTTAATATCTATTCAATGTTTTTATGCATCTAATTATGAACAAAAGATACAAATAGACTATTAGTGAACATTTGATAGGCGACCAATGATGAAATCATGTATTTTTTGTTCCGATCATTGAAAATGGGAAGAGCTTTGTAATCGGGTGTGTTTTACTTTTTTTTCTTTTTGTTTTCCACGAAAAATCAGGAACCACAAACAATCATCGGACTGGGTTGAGTGATATATCATATTTAAGCCCTTCCAGTTGAGATCCGAACCACATTTTAAAATTTCATAAATGTTTTCCCAGTGTCGAGAAAAATCGGTTTAAAATATTTGATTTTTCGCCTTATTTCAATCGTTAACCTTAGTTTACTTTGAGTATTTTTAGCGCCTTTTTGGAATCAAATTTTTCAAAAAATTCAGACAAATTTCAAAGAAAATTTTTTATTTGTTTTTTTTTTTCGTTTTTGAAAAATGTTTTTTTAGTTTGCTTATTTTAGTATTGCTGTCGAATAAACTGTACCCCAGTTTTTTAATCTGCTTTTTTTATCACACCGCGCCAAAAAAACGGCAATAAGTTGAAAAACTTCATTGTATTTGCTTTATGTGCTACTTGCACAGTAACCGGCTATCCTTGTTAGCATATGAAAAAGTTAATTGAAATCTGAAAATATTTTCAAGAATTTTCTTCATATTTGCATATATTTTGTGAAGGCAGATATCAAATGAATTTTAGAGGCCTGCGAAAAGAGGATTTCAAAAAATAGTTCCAAAAAAAGGAGCCTTTGGCAAAATTTGGCAACCAGAACTGATCTCCTCCCCCTCATTACGCTACTGTATCTTTAGGATCCTCTGTCTTTAAAAAAGATACACATCGACATCACCAACTAACCTTCCTGTTGTTCATCGTCAAAGAAGTTGATTCGTCTCCAGACATGCTGGATGTATCCCTCGAATCTAGCCTCCAATTCAGCTCTTATTAACACATTCGCCTGTTCCTCGTAGTCCAGAGAAACACTTGCTGCTATGTCGTTATGTAGTTGGGATGTGTGAATTGAAGCGTCACCGTATCCGTTCAGACAGTAGAACTGACTGAAATTTTGAAATTTGAATTACTTTACCAGCTACATATACAACGCCAAAAGCAATATATTATGCCTGGAGGGAGATCCTAAAGAGTAGTACTGCTCATCGAGTAGGATATCCTGGAGAGTAAAGAGAAGACAGCCAGCATCAACTCAACAAACAAATTAAATTAAGGGCTGAAATAAAAAACAGTTTGTAGAGGGTTGATTGTCTTTTAGGTAAATTTGAAAAAACTGTTTATAGAGTCTCAAACAACTAACTTCTGACATTTCATGTATATTAACAGGTATCAAGTCATTTTGTTTTAAATAGTTAAAAGCCGGCACAATTCTAACTGTAAGCGATCTCTGTTTAGCGGTAGTAGAAAATTTTGCCACTTTAATTAAGCCTTTCGCTTTGCTCCTGGTACATGGTCCACTTTTTTTGGAGTAAATTTGAGACAGAAAACCATTTTTTCTGTCCGATCGCAATTCCATAAACAAGTACTTAAACATCTCAAAAAAGTATAAATCAAAAACAGTAAGCAATTTGTTTTTGTCCATAATTTTTTTTAATTGACATATATCTACATTTGAAATTTAACTGAGTTTTCGGGAAACTTACTTCAAACTGGGTCTAGTTTTATAAGTAAGTTTGTAGGCTGCTGAGCAACCATAACAGAATGTTGAGTGTTTTGGCTATCGATTTTTATTTTCCTGCAGTTTGTATTTAGTCAATTAAGAAGTTTATAAGGAACTCTTCGCATACAGTTTTTCATATTGAACTGAATTGTTTTGAGCGAAAGTTTTAATTATTTTGTTAATTTTTCAGTTTGTATCTTGTTGGTCCAAAAAATCGAAAAAAAATGGAAGAATATTTGTGTATATAGTGAGTTATAACCGAAGGTCGTTAACTCATAGAGTAATTTCGGATAGGGTACACCGTCTGCTCGTCACGCTATCTTATTTTCGGTCGGATTGATTCGTGCAACTTCTTAGTCTAGTACCGATCCTAATCTTACTCTTATATCTACTAGTCTCAGGGTGTTTAACTAGTCTCTGCTAGGCTCAATAGATCTAGAGTATACTGGCTTATTGCGGCAGCTGAAGTTCTCTTGGAGAGGCAACTAATTTCAAGTTAAATTCAAATCTCTCAGGTGCTGAAATTACCAGTAATTTCAGCACTTACAAATAAGTGGGTTGTTAGTTAGATGGATTATGATTGGTTATTATTAAATATTTTACAGTGGTAAAATATCTAATTTATCCAATAATAAAATGTAGTTTAGATCAGGTTCGACCCATCCGGGGTTTACAGAGTTTTTTAGAACTATCTTTCTTCTCTGCAATTTGAAGGATGGATGATGAACGTTGGTATTTGGCGAACATCATTTTCTTATCCGATTCTTCTTGGAGAAGAACGTTCCAGGACGCTGGAATTATGGATAGGAAATTGTTATGTCGTCATTCGACAATGACTGTGATCCCCAATGAAATCAATCCGACTTCGAAATAATGTTGCTATGACAGTTTTTTCTGTATTATGCAGAGAACATGTTTTGTGTGCAACGTCGTCTGGGAATGGCGTGAAGATCGTGTGTGGAAGGGATGCCTTGTAACTCGGATCTGCACGTATACTTGATCATCGAGGTGGTCATTGTTCTAGTTCAATGAAGTCTTTTTCTGCGAAGCCAAGTCGTACTCTAAATCCTTTGAGTTGTGATTGTGGACGGCTTGTCGGTTGTGTTTTAGCCATTCTTTTGTTCGAATGTGATGGGATCATCTAGTCTTTGGATGTTCGTCTTTGTTATTGAGTATGATCTATATACTGCAAAGTATGATTTACATTTTATAAAATTATGTTAATTCGGTTTTTTAATCATGAATTTAGTTAGTTGTTTTCACAAAAGCGTTTTGTTTTAGTTCGGTTATTTTGAAGAGTTACTCACCCTTGAGTACCTCTTATTAAAAATAGAAGTGTGGTCACAAAGCGTGGATGTAGCGCGGTGGGTTAGGCCGGCTATAGAGCATGCTCAGGACGTCCTCTCTGGTGGGTTAGGCCAGGAGTGGGAGTATGATTTCATGCTGTTTCTTTGAGAGGTCCTGTTTTGTGATAAAGTTTTATGTTGGTTTTATGTTGGTCTTTCTTATGTTACTTTGGTTGTGTCCTTTTTTCAAAAACCAAATTGTTTTTGGTATGGGTTTGTCTTGCGACTTTTTTGTGTTTTATTATTTCTTTCTTAGACTTTATAATAGTCTTCAAAAGAAAAAATTATCCAGTTTTAAGCTGGGTTAATCCGGTTTGGGTACCGTTGGTTTTCTTTTCTTAGTCATGCTGTTATTGTATGAATTGTGGTGTTTAGTGAGCTGCGTTGATTAGTTTGGTTTAGTATATAATTCCTTTCCAACCGGGTTAAAGGAGAGTTTGAAATTTGTTATCGTGTGTTAGAGTTGTTTATAGTGAAAGCTTGAAGCTTAAAATCATTATAAACAATTCTTCGTGGGCGAGCTGTGCGAATTTGGATAGAAATCTTGAGCGAGTGAATGAAAATGTTGAAAAGGTTAGTACTGCTTTCTCATTTTATGAATTTATTGCATTGAATTTGAATTTACTGCGTTTTGGGGAAAAATTTAAAATTAAAAATTTTCATCGTAATTAAGTTTAGTGCTTCATGGGGAAATAATATATAAATGAAATTGCTACATTTGGTATGAATTTTATTACATTATTTAGTGCAAGAAATTAATGAATGTGAAGATAATTTAACAAGTTTGTTTTTTATTTTTCTTTTCTGTTTTTTAGGTGATCGTGGTGTGAAGACTAGAAATATATATCAAACATTGATAAAAAACGGTTAGTACTAATTTAAATTTATTAGTTTAGAGTAAATCAAATTATACTTACCTTAATCTTCTGGAAAAAAGCCGTGGGGGAAGATGTCGTGTATCATATCTGATGTTTTTAGTAATTTGGCTAGTATGCGTATGATATTTTAGTTTGTAGCAGTGGCCAAAGCAATTGAATTGCTTTAATGGTGTTTAGTTCTTCAGTGCCTACTGCAAACTCATAAGGTGTGTTTTGAATGAGGTTATATATTTTATGATTATACTTAGTATTGTGAATGAATTCTAATATGGGTACTTCAATAGGCTGGATAAATTCATGCGGGATAAGGAAGGGTCTGGATTCTTCGGCATTGAAGGTCTTCGTGATGGGACAGAATATATACATTTGGGTAACTGGGTCATTGTTGCTGAGGATACCGTGGAGGTTAGTATCTTTGATGCAATATGTAAAATTAAGGAAAAATGGTGACGTGTACTTTGAGTTAAGCAACTGAAAACGATGGTGAGGTTGCCTTGATGGGGTGTGCAAATCAAAATGATTTTGTGTAAAACGATAGTATGTATATGTGTGGGTTTGTTTAGTGCGTAACATAATATCGTGGGAACAGTGCAAATCGGGTTCCTGTGGTGAAAGAAAGTGAAAGGTTAGTGAAAATAACTGAAATTTATCATAGAAGCTCTCGTATGCTTGAATATCAGCTAGTGATTCTGAAATAATGTGGTCATTTTTTCTATCAAAAAGATTAAGTGTTAATACGTATGATATTTTGATGAAAAATTTTTCTGTTAGTTGCGGGTTTGCGAAGCGGTCTTCATCTAAAAATTGGTCTTGATTCGGGCGGATGATATTATGATCGTAGTATTCTATTGCAAATTCGTTAGCTCGGGGTGCAGTGAATGTTTTTAGTAACTTTTTATATCCAACGTAAGTAAATTATTGAGGTGTTAGTGTTGTGGTGAGTCTATTTAACATGTTTTTGTTCTTTTCTTTGCTGTCATGAGTATTTGCTAGTGGTAGGCAAAGGGGGTTAGTAAAATTATAGTAAGCTGTCCAATGAAGTGTTGGCATTAAAACATGTTCATCTACAAAATTGCGTGTGTCATTAGTATCGTTAGGTGTGTTTAATGTATATTGCGGAAATGAGGGTAAGGTGATTTCAAGAAAATTTTTCGTGTTGGTGTGTTGCGGGTGATTAATATATTCGCGGGCTGTTCCGGGTTTGGTTGGGAATGGGTGATTTGGAAGTTTTCGTTTAAAAGTGCGATAAGCTCTGTGAGTGATAGTTGGCGTTTCAGTGGATGTCGATGATTGTGCTAATGATGGAGTGTAAGCTGAGGAGGGTGTGGGAGTAGGTGGATTTGAGGATGTTAATGTGGATGATAGTTGATGTATTGAAAGGGTGTTGGGGTGCATTAATTGTTGTTGTAAAGTTATAAAATTATCAAGCTCCTGGGAAATTTGGGGGGTATCTGGGGAATTATTATATGATCTGTCGGAATGAAGTGGAGAATAGGTTGGGGTTACTTGGGAAGCGTAAGAAGGAGTAGAAATGGATGGGAGTGGATGATTAGATGGGATTGGTTGAAAAGGTGGTTTTGAAAAAACTGAGGAGTTGGTCTGGGTTTAATTTGAGGGAGATGGTTCGGAGTCTGCAAATTCGTCGGGGGTTTCTACATTAGAGTTATTAAATTGTGAGATAGAATATAAAACTGAAATATCTGAGTTAGTATCAGAATTCGTGCTTGATGATATATTAATAATCGGAAAATCGGGTGGTGGGAAAGCAAAAAGTGGTATGATTGGGATTGGAGTTTGGAGGTTGGCTGGGTGGGAATTTGAGCGATGGAGGGATCCAAGTTGCCGGCTCATCGTGGGCTAAAAAAAATGATTATTTTGAGATTGAAAAGTGGTAGTGTGAGGTTGTTCTATAATTTGTTCATAGGTATTATCATTTTATGGGACTTTGTGTTGCATTTGGTCTAAAATTTGGATTATGTGTGATTGCTAGGTTTCGAAAATTACGGGGAACTAATGATAATGGATGGTTTTGTGGTAGGGTTGGTATGTGTGGTGCTGTAGGTATTGTGTCTACATTATTATGTTCTTCATTATATGTGTTTGGTCTTGTAGATATTTTTGTATTATATTCTTTTATTTGTGCATCTAAAAGTATTTTGTTT